TTTTTTTTTCTTTTTTTTGGTCTTTATGACAGTTGCAATTAATGTTTGTTCAATTTTGAAAAAGAAGACCATACTTGAAATGCCATTTTTTTTTCATTTCAAACTTATCCGTCAGTCACTATGATAAAATAATTTCGTCAGTATATTTTACTTCCTTCTCGTTCTATTACTCAGCTGTTTGAACTGAAACAACGAATTGACAAAAAATGGGATTATTTGCTACTTTTGTTTTACTGATTACTGCTGGTCTGGAGAACTGACAATTTTGGATCATTTGGCTGCCGTCACGTTGCTCTTTATCTTACTTCAATTTACTGTAACTAATCCTATTTTGCATTAAGTTTTAAGCGATTTTTTCAGAATTCACATACAGGTCTAGTATCTTTAAATTCTCAGTCGTTAATTTAATTATGCATTGATTAAGCTGTCTCTCCTGTTGTTTAGTTTTATTATGTGCGCTTTAATAAGCTAAAAGTGTTAACTTTTTCTTACTGGCGTTCTTATGATCACTAAATCTAAGGGCGGCTTCACAGTTCTGAAAGTTGGATAAAGACGGGTTCATACAGTCTTGCTCTTACCTGTTTAGCCTCTTGCGGTAGAAACTTCAAATGAACCAACAATTTAATTTTCTTTTTGTGGGACTACAACCTGTCTAATGTTCTGCCAGTTGTTACAACGAATAATCTATTGTTAGTCAAGTATTCAAAAAGGGGTTCAAGAATTGTGGCAAAAATGAAAAATGAAAGTTTTATTCACACAATAATTCTACTTCTTTCAACAGTATGAAAGACTGTTGCAGACATTTATTGAACTCAGACGCCAACAATTATTATTCTAATGAATAAAGTCAATCCAATATTGCTGAATTATGAATTTTCAGAAAAAAAAGGTAAATATTGGCGATATAAGAGCGTCAAAAAATTTTGATTAATTTGGCACAACTGCACTTGTTACTTTTCTTAGGATCAGAAGACTTCCACTCAGATTCATAATTTCTTTTTTTTACTTTATTCACCAGAGGGTAAAAGGCAACTGAAAATTAACAAAAAGAAAACAAAACAAATATTGTTTTTCTCCTTTAGCACAATAAAATTGTTATTTCAATCATTGACTGAAAAAACAAATTTTAATTTTCAAAAAGAATTATTTAAAAAAGGTCATAAATCTTTCTCTCCTCGTTTTTTTCTTTTGAACAATTAGGCTGAATTTGTCGACGGAAATATGTAGCTTTATTTTTGGTCGTAAATGTCATCGTATCGAACAGTTTCTTATTTAGCTACAGCTGTTTTCTTCTGCCAGCGTAATATATTCTCTTAATTTCATTGCAATTTTATTCATCTTTATGCTAAAAATTTTTCGTTTTGAAATGCTGTTCTATTTTGGCGTTGTCGATTCAAAGTATTGGCATTGTTTCCTCCAACGTTAACTGTATCCGACAGCTCATCACGTAACTGTTGTCTTCAAACTGTTGTTGCTTACAGCTTTATTTGGTAGTCGGAATCACCGGATCAGACAATTCAGAGCTTTGGTGGCCTTTCAACGTTAACATGTTTCTAGGACATCCAATCCTTGACGTAAGTTTTACCTTTACATTTATTTCTCATTAGTTCGTAATGCAAACCTGATAGAAATATGTGTGCCGATACAATTATTCATTAGATGCTGCAAAGTAAACGGAAAATAGTGGTTTTGATTTTCGTTCTTTCCGGCTAGCCTATCGGAAACTTTAATATCCGTTTTCATATACGTTCGTTTGATGTAATACAAAGATTATGTGGACAACTGTGTTAAATAATGTCAAAGATGGTGAAAATACTGAGGTAGACGGGTTGCGGGGATAAACCGGAAGATCCTATAAAATACAATCTCTTTCTACGATGAACTTTTCACTTTCTAAACTGTCCTTTATTCCATCTGAAGCAATCAAAAACTGCAAAGAAAACAACAGCGACAACAACAGGAATAGATTTTGTGGCAAGTGGTTGTTGTAGACATTATCGTTTTCGTCGATATCGCCAAAGTTGTCGATGCTGCTGCTGGTGTTGTTGCCTTTAGAATGATCAAAACGTTTGATTGAGAATTGTTTTGTTGCTATCATTTTCATTCTGCTGTCGCATAAATGGTACAATGATTTATTGGAAAGTTTTACAAAAAAAGGAGCGTTTCAGTTGTAATTGTAAATTTTTTTGATGAATCATTAAGATCAATTTTTTTTGCTTTTTTTTGGAAAAGAATGGATGTAAGAAGTGAGAGTTAAAAAGAAATAAGAATATCGGTCAATAAATATTTGTTTCATTAGTGTAGAAAGCCCAAATTAAATTTAGCATTCAAAAAAAAAAGAGAAAACTTTAGTGTGTACCATTAAATTGCAGAATTGCCAAAATTTTTGAAGTGGACATTTCTTTGAACGGAAGTATACACTGAACGATGATTGAAAATACAACTGACAGCGACGATAAGATGATGACACAACTGACTTGATTTTCTTTTTTTGCTTCTGACTGTTCTGCAAGGTCGTTTTTCCTACCTGAGTTTATGACTCTTTAAAAACAGCAGCAAAAATGGCGATAACCGCAACACTAAAATTATCTGTCGTTAACAAAATAAGTTTTTTTTTCAAAGCGGAATGCTTAGTTCTTTTTTCTTGTTATACAATCTAAATGTAGAAAAAAATTGAAATAAAATTTCATTAGATTCTTTTTTTACATTTTCGTTTATCCGCGACAGTTTGTTACGTTGTAATGTAAATATTATTAGTCATTCAGCAGCAACAATGGCAGCAGTACCGTGCACAGTCTTTTTTCTGTCTAGTGGCTTTGAAAAAATCAATTATTTTTGTAAGACATTTTTGTTACTGCTTTTTTTTTTTTTTTGGAAGGAGAAATACTAGACACAAAAGAAACTGTACTGAGGAGAAAATTTTTGGAGAAAAAAATTTAAAAAGACGGATGAAAAAAGAGAAATTTTCTTTTTGGGAGGGGGTAGGGGATGTTGCACAGGTGACAAAAAGAAGAGATAATCCTAAAAAGCATTGCAAAAAAGAAAAATTAACCTTAAAATGATATAAAAGAAATTGGATTGTCATTTCTTGTCAGTAATTCTGAAAAAAAAAAAAACACTGACCAATTTAGTTGACCAATTTTCTGCCAGTGTTGTCTTTCAATTCCTTTTCACTACTTTTCCTCTGCAGACTTTCAGATCAAGAAGAAAAAAGCTGCCAAATGCAGGTTTTTTGTTTAGTGAGTGCCGTCTAGGAATGCCCTAATAATTTACTCAAGAAATATGCAAATTATTTGAGTTTCTAAATAGTCATATTAATTTATTCTGTAATAGTTGTAAATAATTTTTTTATATGTGGGTGCAAAATTTGAAATAGAGAGAACGGGGGTGTGAATTAGTTTATGCATAATGCAGCTTTGTTTCTGCGTTTAAAAATGGGGAACTGTTGTTATCTATCAAAATTTTAAGCTTTATCAGCACACTGTTTGGTCAACAATATGTTGTTTCAAAAATTCATATTTTTTTTATCGGGGTAATGGAAAATCAAAATAATCTTTTACTTTTTTTTTCTTCTTTTCTCGTTCTTCCTTTTTCAACCTTTCATGTGTGAGTTGTTATTCCTGCATTTTCTTCTGTCTGCATTTGAATTTTCATAACGACACAGCACTTTCCTTTTTGAATAAAATTGAGACTGGTTCTTCTGTGCTTTCTTGTTCTTTTGTAAAGAACCTATAAGTACCGAGAATTCTTTATCAGAAGCAAAAGACTTCAAAAGAACAGCGGAACCGTGGAAAAGTTTCTTAGCTGAAGATTTTAGCAATCTTCAAAGAGGCAGACAAAACAAATTTGGAAGAAATGAAAGAGACAAATGAGTTTTCCTTTGAGGCTGCTGTTAACCGTCTGTGCGGCAATATAGAAGAAGTATAAATTTTATTCTGAGGTTTTTTGTCAGGTTAACTATTGACAGAATGTGAACTTCGTCTCCAGCTGTAATAAAAGTTGCTTGAAATCTGATTTAAATGTGCCTTAAAATTGCAAACGACTAATGATCTAGTGGCGGCAAGGTCGTTATACATGGTAGTGAAAGTAGAAGTGTTAGTTCAGTTGCTAAAGTAGCGTCTATCAGGGAAAAAATTATAATGGTTTTTTTGTGACGCTTATACGTAGTGCTACTCGCTGAGTAACGCTCAAAAATAGAAGATATAAATGGGAGAGTAAATCAGTGAAATAGATGGTTGGCAAAAAAAGGATATGATTTTATAATACTGCACACCAATTATAAATATCGTACTCCTGAAATTACAAAATTTCGAGCTAAAGAATTTGAAACTAGAAATTTTATTTCGTTTTAATTACTCATAATACCAACTTCCTGACAAATTTGTAATTTTTACGATTTTCATCCCTAAGTTTAGTATTATCGCTTTTCACAGTATAGGTTTTTCAATGCGTTCTTTCACTTTTCGAAAATATAGGCTTTTGCGTCAACAATATTTTAAAACTGATTTTTCTTTGTCAGCGTTCCACAGTTGACTTTTTTTCGTACCAGTAAGTCTTTAAGGTATGATTATAGTTTTCCAAAATGCTCTACAAAAACTTATGAGAAACTTTCTTCTAAGCATGACAGTTTTGAATGCTTATTTAAGTAAAATTGAAGAAACGTTATTGGTGGTGTTTGTAATGTAACGGAGCCATTTTTCCGTTTTTTGAACAGTGATCAGTCAGTAAAAATTCCAGAAAACCATTCGGATATGAAAAATCTATTGATTTTTAATTTAACGATTATTTTAGGAAATCCGTCAAGGCCGTCAACTACGCCCAACAAAGACTGTCGATAAAAGTAAGCCGCTCTTAATTGCTGAAGGAGAGACCTTTTCAAAAGACCTTTCGAGAGCGAAAGTATGCGGTAATAATTTTGACGTAGAGGAATCAACAGTCCCTATTACAAAGCCGCCACCAGTTCCGACTTTGCCCCCACCAATGACAACTGCCCCTCTTTCAGTCCCAACTGCACCTCCACCACCTCCACCTTCTATGATGAACCATAAGATAGCACCAAAACCTGTGACCAATCCGGCGCTGTTGAAACTTGGTGGAAGTCAAAATGTTGACCGAGAAGAGCTGATGCGTTCGATCAAAAATGGCGTCAGATTGCGAAAAGCCACTACAATTGACAAAAGCGCTCCCGTAATTCATGCAGATATTGAATCTCAAGAACCTCTTCAAGCGCCACAACACCAGAAGTTTGGTTCATGGGGGTCTTCGCTGATCGTCGAAAAAGAAAAACCAATCAAGGAGAGTGAAGCAACTTCTAGTAAAGAAGAAGTGTCTGTAAACGAAAATACTTCGGCAACAGTTTACCAACCACCCGTTCACACCGATTATACACCTCAGTTCAATACACTACCAAGAGCCCAAAGTCAGCAAACCAGTAGACTTCTAACAAGTGATACGTTTGCTTCTAGTAACGGTACAATGCCCAGAGCTAAGAAAGCTGATGAATGCTATACGTCACCAATCCCCACGAGGGAGATGATTGAAGCGGAAATTCCAACTGGATCTGCAGCAAATAAAATTAAGCTACTTAACAGCTTGCATAGCCGTACGCAATCTCAAAGTCCTGTGCGAGCATTAACAAGACCGACGGTTTCTAGAACACAACTGAAGAATGGTGTTTTGGCCAAATTTACACAAATAAATCAGAATTCAAACGGAAAACCTGACGAAAATACAGCGCCACTCTTCAAAGCTCCAGTAAGTGGGAATCCGGTGAGCAAATCGAGCAGCATGAACAGTATCAAGAAGATGGCACAGCGCTTCGATAATAATGCGATTAGTGCGCAACAGAATGTTCAACCGAAACGACTCTGGAAGTCGTCGAGCACGGCTGCTTCCAATTCTGGCTCATTTATCAAGCAATTATCTAAAGCCGAGAAGTTGGCTGATACAGACGAATTGCCAAAGAGTAAAACAGCATTTCCAGCCGTCAAACCACTTAAACCCGCCAACAAAGACGTAGATGGAACCGACCACCAACAAGTGTTCAGTGGTTCTATACGTTCCCATGTTAAAAAACTAGAAGATGCTCAACAGTCAGTAAAAAAAAATAATGCGTATTTTACACCAAGAAGTTATGCACATCCTGAAGTAGAAAACGGCCAATCCGTGAAACAGTTTGAGAACATTGTTGCTCCGTCTTCCTCAAGCCTAAAGGATGAAAAGAAACATTTGAAAATTGTATCAAATGATGACTGGAGAAGAGAACCAAAGAAATTCCATCCGGCAGTACCAACGACTTCAGCTTTCGAAAATCAAAACAGAAAGCTGTCAAAAGAAAATTATCGCTCAATGCCACAAATATCACCTGGGGCTAGAAGCGTTACTCAAGAAAGTGTAAGCAAGAAGCTTGAAATGCCAAAGCAACAAAGGAGCGTTTCGTCAGAAAATATTCCGCAGTATTCATACGAACCCATTCATTTCAAACCGGCGCCGGCGAGAACAACGTCAAAGCCTTCGCTTTTCAAGTATATAGTGCCAATCGAAATTGATACGACCGAAAATCCTCCACCGGTTCCTTTGAGTCTTCCTCCACCGTTGAGTCCAGTCGTACAGTCTAGTGTGCAGCGCAGCATCATAAACCAGAATGGAAATTCACGCGAACATCTGTCTGAACCTGAAAACATAGGTCCAAAACCGTATGGCAGCAATTCAATGGGTTCTTTGTACAGTGCACCATCTAGCAGGTCAATCAACAGCATGGACAATTTTCCCGCTTCGCAGGGCAGCTCAGTTATTCCACCTCCTCAGTCAGACTCTTCACCAAATTCAAGTACTTCCTTAAGCCCGATGTCCTCAGTCTCAAGAAGCTATGCTGATCCGCCCTCTCTATTAGCGCGACCGTTTAATGGCAACAAATTTTGTGAAGCAAAACCAGATGCACGTGGAAGGCCTTTACTTCATTCAGTTGAGGCATTTTATGTCACAAAACCAGATATTCGTAATGAAAGTATGAATGATATGGAACAGAATGGAAATGAGAGATGGCCATTCCATCCAGCGAGTCGATCGACACCACAACTGGTAAGTTATTATTTTAGCCATAAAGGATTTCGGAAAATTCAACAGTTTTCTACTGAGTTGTGTCTTGGTCACCAATCAGAATGTTTTACTGTGTTAGATTGCAGGACTGTGAATCAGAAATTTCAAGAAACACCGGTTTTTATTCGGTCCCAATCAGTGCTCCATGGTACAACAAATCGATGTATGAAGAGTCGATGGAACCAATGAATAACGGATGCAATGGACGTCGTGCAGTTTCATCACGTAGCAGCGAGGAAATCTATCGTAACGCAGATTCGTTCCCAAATTTTGGTAAGGCGCGTAATCTGTTTGTCGGTATAAACGGTCCAAATTTAGAAGCATTTGCTGACATGGATCCAGATTTTATCCGTGATAATTTTAAATTCGCGATCAACCTGAACTCTGATAATCTTCTAAGACTAATACCAAGGTAACTATGTTAATATGCATGTGTGCAAGCATTTTTATTTAGTTCTAAAAATTAGAATTTTCTCTGAATTATTATTTGTTCGTTGATGGTGAAAATTAAAACTTCTTTTCTGTGCCGCTACTTTATTTCTGTTTTCAAAACTACTTAATAAAGCTTTAAAGCGGCATGGTTCTTTAGTTCTGTAGAAAAACATCAGAAAAATCAGTGTAGTTAAGCGTCGGAAAATGTTGGAGATGGTGGACTAACAACCTTGTATATTAAATTTGAATTATTAACTAATTTTGATTTTTTTTGTATCTCAATTACCTTTTTCGTATGTTCTGTTTTGCTTGTTTTTCCGGTTTCGAAAAGCAGTTTGATGCTTCAAAAAATGAATGTGAATGTTCGTTTTGTTTATTTTGTATGTTTGATTGAATGTGTTGAATTGAAATGTCAATTTTTCTTTCTGTTGCCTATTTTCGGGTATCAACTAATTTAAAAGACCTTAAAAAGTTTTTTTTTCTTTTTTTTTCCTTTTTTTTATTTTTCTAATCATATATCATCTGAGCAGACAGAAGTTTTTAGAAGGCCAGTTTCCGCTTTTTTTTTTCAGGATCGCATAAAGGTTACTGTTCTTTCTAATGCAAAATCCTATGTTATAAAAAACGATAATTTTTTTTTTGTTTTATGTTCAAATGTTTTGATCAGTACAGTTTTTACTGGGCGCCATTTGATTACTAAAAAAATATTATTCTTGTTCTTTAGAAAGAAATAATGAGCTTTTCTCACCTTTTTTTCCTTTTTTTTTTTCTTAAAGTTTAAAATGATAATATGCAGCAAAATTTGGGTAAAAAAGTTTTTTTTGGCTTAGAGAGCGGGTAACGACAGAAAAGTAGACTGAATGATCGGTCGGTTAACTAAAGTTGATTGTTTACCCATTTTCAATTAGTATACTGCCGGCTGCAAGTAACTGATTTACGTTTTTACCGTCGTTTAACGTACGTACCGTCAGCTTGTAATTATCATCAGTTTTTGGGAGAAATGAAGGAGCATTTGCTTTTTATACCGTTGTAAATTTTCTTACTACAATCTTTCTTCTATCTATTTTTGCGATAAAAGGGCTTATTATTAATTTTTTTTTATTTTTCTTATTTTTTTCATTATTACTTTTGGCACTACCAAAGTAAAAAAATGGAACAGACAGTTGAAATTTTTAATTAGGGTGAAATTTTTTGTGAATGTATAGGAGATGTTTAATGCACAAAATTTTGGACGCCTCTTCCAAAGCAGACAAGAATCTAGTCAGTTATTTGAACAGTTTAATCTGTATTCAAGTTTACTGTAAGTAAAAACTTGTCACATTAATTTTTTTGTTCTGTGTCAAAAAGTGATATAAGAGGAAAAAGTGTGTTAGAATAATGAAAAATGATTTTACTGTTAAAGGAAAAGAAAAAAATGAAATTATTAAAACGAAAAAAGTTTTTTTGTTATTTAATGTTAACAAATAGATAGATGGACGAATAGAGATATTGTCAGATAGCAATAAGTTAGATTGCTATATGAATTAAAATTGACAAAACATATGGTAGTCATCAAGTAGTATTTTTATTTGGTGGCAAATTTTTGGCAGATGATTGGTGCTGCTAAAAATGCTGCTTAAGTGAGGACAGTAACAACAAAGAAAAAAAGGAAAAAAAAGGAAGAAAAAAGGGAAAGAAAAAATCATTTGTATGTAATGTTATTATAATGAATACAGTATCTATTTGATCGTTTTTAATGTAAGTGATACATAACTGTTTTTTGTCTAATTTTACACTTTTTTTCGTGTTTATTTGTGTAGCATCTTACTTTATAAGTCATTGCTTGGTAGACCATTATTTATTTTATCTGATTATTTTGCTGCAGCTTCTGCAATGGCTGCAACTTTTGCGGTTACAGGTGTTCTGACTGCTGCTACTTGTTTTCATCTGCTTGTTCTTTTTTCTTTGCTTTTGCTAATGCAAGAAATTGTTGAACTTTGAATATTAGCTAAATTGACTTAGTATTTGTATTAATGTTTGCTTAAATGAAGCAACCGGTATTAAGAATGTATTTGCAATTTTTTTTGTCATTTTATTTTTTTGCCTCTTGCAATTTGCCTTCTCTTTTTTGCCTTTATTTCGGTGCATTTGATTGAGTTTTTTCATTTTGAAAAGAAAAAACTTAATAGCTGTAAGTTGGTCGACCTATGAAAAGTAGTTGTTTTCTATTTCTGTTTCTTTCTTGAATATAACCAATTTGATTTTATTTTACAAGCAAAGAGAAAAAAAAAGAAGCTGTGAAAGTTGAAAATAATTTTCACCACTTTCGTCTTCCCTCTCATCCTCCACTCCCCCACTCTCTAAAAAAATCTGTTGTTACCGGTTGATCTTGTCGGTGCGTACACGTATTACACGAAAGGCATATGTTGCTTTTTCTTCCTTCTGTTTTATTCGACTCTCTTTGTATGATTTTGTTTGAAAAACTTTTCACCTAAAATAATAGGATGTGTGAAGAGAAAACCGCCTGTTTGTTCATATGTTGTAGTTTAATTTTAAAATTCTAGTCTTGGTTGATAGTGTGTTTTCTGGGTTTTTTTTTTTAGTACTACTTGTATGATATAAACTTTTTTCTGTTTATTATAAATTCATTGGATGCATTGAAATCTAGAAGCAAACGTTTTACGGCAGTGGATTATTTCCAGTTCAGCAATTTATTTCTGAAAGTAGGCAGATGAAATTATTGTTTCAAAAATTTACAACAAAATAAATTTAATTCTTTTGCAGTTGTTTATTCAGCTATTCAAATAATCAACAATGTTTTTCTTGACGTTTCTGAGCTACCTGTATTCTGCCTCTTTCTGCAACATAAATTCACTGAGAAGAGATGAGGGAAAACAACAATCAAATATGGCTTGGTTTATTAAGTTGTTTGGCCGTTAATGAAGAAGAAATCTGTTGCTGTTGTTCTGGCAATAATGCTGTTCTCATCGTAGTCGTCGTTCGTCGTCATTTTCGTTGTCGTTTTCATCAGTACTGCTATAACGTTATTCATTTTTTGCATCGTTGAGTAAATAAAACTAAAATCACGTGGCTTTGTACGAAGCCTTACACTATTCTCTGATCACAGATTTACGCAAAGCTTACGTCAAATTGCAGCACGAAAAAAAAAAGCTGAAGCACAGCAAGTTAATTACTCTTCCGGAAAGTTTAATTGTTCTATCAAACAAAAAAGAAATGCATGAATGAAACCAATATAAAAATTCTAGGCTTTTTTTTGCTACTGTTATTGTTACTCGTTTATGTGATCCTTCAAAGTAACAGTGACTACAATTTTTTGCAGCGTATGATTTTCTTGTTTTTCGCATTTCAACAGCTTACTGTATAGATTAGCAATTGAACTTCAGTTTGCTTTGCTGCAAAACCATTGTATTCATCTACAGGAATTCATCGATGGTAGAGTGAACAAAGGATATTTTGCAGATGTTGTTACAAATTAAGCGTGTATACTAAAAAACAAACAACCTAGTACCTAAAATCTATAAACGCAAATTATGTAACACTTATCAGGTATAAGAGGCCTGAATGTTTGACACGATTTTATAATATTATCAAATATTTTGCTGGTTCTCATGACAACAAAACCTTGCAAACGGTATTTCTTTGATGCCATTTGTTAGAGAACAAAATGAAGCAACAACTGCACTGTAATCGTTGACAATCGGTAATAAGTAACTACAAAGTGTTCTAAATTACAAATCATCTGCTTTATTCTGTCTATCTATTATTCATTTTGTTTTCAGTTGGTTAGCAAAGTAATGTAGGGAAAACATTGGTTATATACACAGAATTATAGCACAATTTTTCCAGTTTTGTTTTTGAGATCAAACACGACAAAATGACCGCGAGACTAAAATTTTTTGAAGCAGTAACAGCAGAAGGCTTCAAAAGTTGAGTTACCGTACCTATCGACGACTGAATTAGTAAGTGCAGCAACAGTGGCGTCGTTTTATCTATCAGTGATTGGTTTAGTCAGCAATAATTGTAAGAAAGCCAAAAAACATTCTCATTATTGTATCAATGATCAAAAACCATTTAGTTTTTGGCCCATTAATAGGTTTTACAATATAAAAAACAGCTAAAAATGAGGAAAAAAAAATGTGTAGTATCGAACTTTATTTGCTAAAATTACTTTTTTTTTTGTGCTGACTGCGTATAAATAGACCAAAAATAGTGAAATGATTGATTATTTTTACTGTTTATTCAATCATTAATAAAAAAACGTCCTTTTCTGTAAAAATAAAAAAAAATGAAATTAACAGTGGTAATTACTCGTTGAAAAGTATAGAAAAAAATGGGCAAGATTAAGAACTTTAGAACCAGAATATTTGCAGAGTAAATTGCGATACTATACTTTACGAACAAGTAAATACAGAAAAGTACAAACAAAAGATCAATTGAAAAAGATAAAATATGTTTTTTATAACAACCATTTAAAATAATTTTATCACAAATTATGTTAGAAATTTGTCTTTTTTTTTTTTTTTTTTAGGACACTGTCAAAGGATAGAATTCTGGTGGATAGTTGTCATAATATTCGCCTTCTTCATCGACAACAAACCGACTCGGTTGCGATCGTTTACCCTTACCGACTGTACTTGAAACAAAGTGATCCTAAAAAGAATGAAAAAAGAATAAAATTTATAATTGAAGCTTTAATAAGCACTTTTTTATCTAAAACCTAAATTTTCGCTTTTAAATCTGAAAAAGTATTTAATCTCACGACATTTAGACACCTCTGGCACTAATTTAAAAAATTAATAGAGCCTAATTACATGTTTAAAAATTAGAATTTTATGCTTCTAGCGGTTGCTGTTTTTGATTTGTTTGGTTAATGGTCATCTCATGCAAAATTAACAGATTTTTCACACTTTTGTTGAGAAAACAAAGAAAAAGAAAGAACAAAGTATACATTTTACTAAAATTTGTGGTATCTACTTGAAACAGA